AATGATAGCAATAACAGTGGGAACAGCAGCAGAAATAGCACTGACATTAGTGGTAATAGTGTAAGCAGCAGCACTTGAGTCCCTACTTTTTGTCAGGCCAGTACCAAATTTTACCTATCTGCCTGTCTATCTACCTATGTACTTATCATACATTATCTGTGGTCTTTATTACTACACTAGAGGTCCAGTGCACGAAATTCATGCATGGGTAGGGTCCCTAGTGGCTGCTGGCCACTGGCTGGGGCCTTCTTTCATTCTGCGCCACCCCCTGGTGGTCAGCGCACATCACAGTGAGCAATCAAACTCCCGATCAGTCGAACTCCAGAGGGACACTTTGCATATTAGGCTTTTATATATATACTAGAGGCCCGATGCACGAAATTCATGCAAGGGGCTCGGCCCATCGCAGCCCCAGCTGCCTCACGGCCCCGCCCACTGGTCATTCGGAAGGTCGTTCTGCAGTCTGGTCTAATTAGCATATTAGCTCTTTATTATATAGGATATATATAGATACCTTTCACTGATAAGGAAGCGAAGGCTTGACAAGTTTAGGCAATTTACTTGAGGCTACCCAGCTGGTTAGATACAAAACCAGGATTTAAACCTAGGGTTGTCTTTACAGTGATTCAAACCCCTATCATCTCCCACCTGGATTAACACAATAGTCTCCTAGATGATCACCCTGATTCTGCCCTTGGTCCCCTGAAGCTTATTTTCAAGATAGCAGCTACACTGATTCTGTTAAGACTATATTTAAGGATTTTTTTTCTTTTTTTTAAAAATATATTTTATTGATTTTTTTTTTTTTTTTACAGAGAGGAAGGGAGAAGGAGAGGGATAGTTAGAAACATCGATGAGAGAGAAACATCGATTCAGCTGCCCCCCGCACACCCCCTACTGGGGATGCGCCCGCAACCAAGGTACATGCCCTTGACCGGAATCGAACCTGGGACCCTTCAGTCCGCAGGCCGATGCTCTATCCATTGAGCCAAACTGGTCAGGGCGGATTTTTGTTTTTCATTGAGGTGTAAAACACTCATGTACTGAAAATCCACTAATGGCTTACTATTCCAGGATAAAAGCCAAATCCTTACAATGGCTTTTAAGGCCCTAAACTACATGGTCCATATCACCCCTCAGGCCCTATATTGTACTATTCTCTCTTCCAACCACCCCTCCCAACACACACTCTACTGTAGCATCATCAGTCTTGTTGCTATTCCTTGAGTCAGGCATGATCCTTCTTCAAAGCCCCCCTTTTTCCCATTCCTCATCATTATGTTAGCTATAGATTTTTATTAGATTAGGTTAAGGAGGTTGCCTTTATATTCCTAGTTTGCCAAGGTTTTTTTTTTTTTATTGACATTAGAGAGAGGGAGAGACATCAATTTGTTGTTCCACTTATTTATGAATTCATTAGTTCATTCTTGTATGTGCCTTGATCGGGAATCAAACCTGCAACCTTGGTGTATCGGGACACCTGAGCTACCAGGTCAGGACCTGCTAAGTTTTTTGGTACAAGATTCACATACCATAAAATTAAACATTCTTAGTGTTGGAATGGTGGACCTGAAACCTGTATCATTTTGTTAACCTGTGTTACCCCAATAAATTCAATAAAATGAAAAAAACACACACCTTAAAATGAACAATTCAGTGGCATTTCATACATTTACAATTTTGTGTAACCACCATCTCTATCTAGTTCCTAAACATTTTCATCCCTGGGAAAAGAAACCCTGCAACCCATTAAGCAGTCACTCCCCATTTTCTCCTCCCCCTGGCCCCTTGCAACCACCAGTCTGCTTTCTGTTCAGAGATTACATATAAATGAAATTATATATGTAACCTTTTATTATTTTTCCTTTTTATGGCTAAATAATACTTCATTGTATAGATATACTGCAATTTATTTATCTCTTCATCTGTTGATGACATTTGGGCTGTTTCCATGTTTGGGCTATTGTGAATAGTGTTGCTATGAGCATGTATGTACAAATATCTGAGTCCCTGCTTTCAATTAAAAAAAATTAATTTCAGAGAGGGAGAGGGAGAGATAGAAACATTAATGATGAGAGAGAATCACTGTTTGGCTGCCTCCTGTACGCTCCCTACTGGGGATCGACCCCACAACCCTGGCATGTGCCCTTGACCAGATCGAACTCGGCCCCCTTCAGTCTACAGGCCAACCCTCTATCCACTGAGCCAAACCGGCTAGGGGCCTGCTTTCAATTCCTTTGGATATGTACCTAGAAGCAGAATTGCTGGGTCATATGGTAATTCTATGTTTAATTTTTGAGGAACTGCCAAACTTTTTCCCACAGTGGCTGAACCATTTTACATTCCCACCAGCAATGTATGAGGATTCCAATTTCCCCTTCAAGGCTTTTGCATTTGCTATTCTTTCTCTGGAAGGCTCTTCTGATAGATACCCAAGTAGCTCACTTCCTCACCTCCTTCAGATATTTACTCAATTGTTATCTTCTCATGGAGGTCTACCTGACCATCAGATTAAAAATGGCAGCCTCCCAACCCCCAACCTCTAACTCACTATCCTTCCCTACTTAATTTTTCTCCATGGTATTAATCATCATCTAACACACTATATAGTTTTCTATTGTTTGTCTTCCACAACTGAAATGTAAGCTCCACGAGGGCAGAGTTTTTAGTCTATTTTCCAGCACCCAGAACAGTGTCAGGCACATAGTAAGTGCTCAATATTTGCTGAACAAATAAATGAAGCTCAAAGAAGTGTTTTGGCAAAGTGTGACAATAAAAGAGCAAGAAACTAAGTCTCTGTAGTTTGCAGGTTCTATTTCTAATAATGGTGATGGATTGAAACGGAGTCAATCACATCTTTTACTCAGCTGTAACCAAAAAGCACACATGCACAGATGGCTATTTCTGAATCAGCTGAAACATGACTGTTAGCACAGCCTGAAGGTAAAGGGATCAGACTGTCAAAACAAAACTCATTAGCACCAATTAAAACTCAACTAACCATCTGTAAATAAGTAAGCTTAGTACTGACCATCTAAAATGTTTTAAACAAGCAAAAAAATGCTATAGGAAACAGAATTTTAAGAGTATCATACTTTAAGAAAATGAGAAATTTGCCATAAGAAATTGAGTCTTATGGAAGAACACAAAGCTGTACCCCTACCTAAAATATTGCTATAGCAAGAATGTAATTTATATTTTTGAACTATGACAGAAGCAGAAAAAATATATATAAAAAGAGAAGCTACGTTAAAACCACAAAGAAATTATTTCTGGCAAAAGCTTAAAACCTGGTATAGTTAATAATTAATGCTGTTGAACTGTTCACTTGAAAATGGTTAATATGGCAAATTTTATCTCACACACACACACACACACACACACACACACACATAATTCTTTATTGTTAAGTGTATTACCTAAGTCTCCTCCCCCCCCATTGACCTCTCCCCAGCTGTCCCCATCCTGCAGCACATGCCCTCCTCCCTTTTGTAAAGTAAACAACAAAAAAAAGGTATAAAGATGGTGGATGAGCCTGGCCAGTGTGGCTCAGTGGTTGAGTGTTGATTTATGAACCAGGAAGTCATGGTTTAATTCCCAGTCAGGGCATATACCCAGGTTGTGGGCTCGATCCCCAGTATGGGGAATGCAGGAGGCAGCTGATCAATGATTCTCTCTCATTATTGATGTTTCTATCTCTCTCTCCCTCTTCCTTCCTCTCTGAAATCAATAACAATACATTAAAAAGAGTGAAAGATGGTGGATGAAAAACCATCCCAGAGACAGATATGGAAATAAACAGTAGAATATCACCAAGCCCACTAAGAAAGAATCTACTTTTGAAGATTTTGGAAAATCATTTACAGCAGAAATAAGTCTGGAAAATTAAAACTGATAGATTTAACTCTTTTGAGTATGAATTGCAAAGATTAGACTATATTACAAGTGGTAATTAAACCTGGCTTTCAATAGTTTCTGTTATAGGCTGAATATTTGTGTCCCTCTTCCCTCATTCATACATTGAAACCTAACCCCCAATGTAATGGTATTTTGAGATGGGGACTTTGGGAAGTGATTAGGTCAGGAGAGCTGAACCTCATGAATAGGATTAGTGTCTTTATAAAATAGACCCAGAAAACTTTCTTGCTCCTTCTACCATGTGAGGACACAGCAAGATGCTGACTGTCTATGAACCAGGAAAGAGGTTCTCACTAGACACTAAATCTACCAGTCATGGACTTCCCAGCCTCCAGCACTGTGAGAAAAAATTTTTCTATTGTTTACAAGCCACCCAGTCTATGGTATTCTGTTATAGAAACCCAAGTGGACTAAGACAGTTTCTTCCTTCCTTCCTTCCTTCCTTCCTTCCTTCTAAAGTTATTTCAGAGAGTAAGAGAGAGGGAGACAGAGATAGAAACATCAATGATGAGAGAATAATTGATGGGCTGCCTTCTGCATGCCACCCACTGGGAATCAAGCCTGCAACCCAGGCATGTGCCTTGACTGGGAATTGAACCATGATCTCCTGGTTCATAGGTCGATGCTCAACCACACCAGCTGGGCTAAGACAGTTTCAAAGTATAGTTCAAGGATTCTGATGTTAAGAGGTGAAAAACCACTCGTGATTGAGTCAAACAACTTCAGAGCCTGCCCACCTTCATGGTTATTAAGATCACAAAGGAACTCCTGTCAGCCTTTAAAGTTCAAGAGTAATAAAGTATAAATAGTGAGCTTTTAACTGTGCTGGAGGAAAAATGGTAACATGCACTCAGTAGATAAAGCCTTCAATCTGTAGGCTAAGTAATCAGGCTTCCATGTAAGAAGCAAAGCAATGCTCCTAGTTGTATGATAAAATCTACAGCTTTTATATGATATTTATTAAAAAATAATTCCTGAGGCACTTTAACAATACAACTTTTATTAAAAAAATAAGTAATAACATCAAAACTGTTCAGAAAATCTATAATAAATGTAACCAAAATAAACAAACACCAACTTAAAAAAAATATACATCTATATATATATTTATATATGGGCAAGAAACAAGTGCGTTTTTTGGTCCCAATATTTTTGAATATATTATCTTTATCCAAAGGTATTACATTAATGGCTAAGAAGATAATATGTATTAGATGTATAGAAATGTAACTTTAAAACTTGTTTTAAGGTCTACAGAAAATGTTTTTCCAAATTTATTATGTCTTTGAACTCATAACTATAATAATGTTAATAATAGTCCTAAGATGGACAGAGGATGTAATAACATCTAATGGTCTGAACAATTAGCAAATTATGAAGCTACCAATAGGTAGCTACATGAAATCTATAGAGAATTCTAAGGAATTTCTGAACAAAATGAAACAAACACAAACATTTTAAAGAAAAAAGATAAAAGTGGACATAACAAAAGACATAAAAAAATTTTCTGAAGAACAACATAAAACCAAGATAAAATTAAAATAAACTTTCAATTTTTAAAACTATTAGTACTGTTGAAAACTCCTAGGGTTAATACTGGATAAAACTTTAAAACGATAGTACAAATAACTGTAACTTTGGAAGTGTAATTTTAGAAAACTTTTTTTCCAAGAGCATGAAAGTAGCCTTGGTTCCCTATACAACCAGTTTTGATATTCCTTGGACTGCATGCATACTAGAAGACTAAAGGGCAGCAGCCAAAATGATTAAACTCCAACTTAGGTGATAAAGCATTGATTTGATGGGCTTTTCTTGACCATATGCTTAAGATCAAGAACCAAAGCCCCCAGTGGGAAGTTGTGCTCAAATTGGTGGGCCTTGAGGTCATCTCTGGCCAAATTAGCATCAGACAGTCATGAAGGAAGTGACTCTTCCCAATATCTGATTTCCTAAGGCCACAACCTACAGGAGGTCTCACAGTTAAACAATTCACATTCCTTGGAAAGAGAGAACAGGCATCAGTTGTGTCCAACGAAGGGGGACACTGACCAGGAGTACCCTGGACATTTTTTGAAATTTCTGTGTTGCTTCTGCATCTGAAAAATATGAAAAATAGAACAATGACAGACAAGGAACGAGAAGACAGCTATCTGACCTAAAAATGTAAGATTTATACAAAATTAACTAATAAGTCAGACAAAACAGACAAAAAAGATGAATAGCCATATCATTTGGAATGCAATATTCTGAAGGCAAGTACAGCAGAGAAAAACACAAATTATTTTAAAGCAAAGCAAAGAAAGACCATAGCAAACAAAAAGTTATTTTTGGAGAGAGCCAACTGGAGAAAAAAAGAGCATGTTAAAATATGTTAACCTGACACAAAGATAAGGTGGAATAAGAATCTAGTGCCATCTGAAAGCTGAAAAGAGCTAAATAATGAGAGCTAGTGTCATGAACTTGGGTATTTAACCATTTTCGTGTGAGAAAACACTTCAGAACTTTGAACTTAGGAAACTGGCTCTGTGTAAGAAAACACTTCAGAACTTTGAACTTAGGAAATTCCAACTTGTCTTGCACCAGGTTGCACGAGCTCCATAGAGCAGGAATCTATTTCAACAAGCAGCTTTAAAAACAAAAACAAAAACAAAATACTTTAATATTTTTCATTTCTATTAATTATACATTAAAAATATGCAACAGTGCTAAAATCCATCAAAGAAAAATGCACTGAATGAAAAGAAACTTACTCAGAAGTGGATTCAGAAGTTGAGGTACTTTTGGGAACTGAAATTAGAAGAAGAGTTTTACATTTAAAATAGCATATATGATGAGTGAGACTATCAATTTAATAAAATTAAGACCCCATATTGTGACTGATAAAAAATACAGGAATATATATCAGAAATCCAAAGTAATGCAATTATATATACATACCATTCTCTATTACAACTTGGCAAGTATGAGTTTTACGTTGACTTAAGTGTTTAGCCATACCATCTAAGCCAGAAGAATCAGTCAGAAAATCACATTTAAGGCACACTAGAGTAATGCCCCTATGGAAAAAAGAAGACAGAAAGAAAATTTTTTAATCTTTTATGAAAATCCATATATAGGTTCAATAATTATTTTCCATGTAGTAACACTTGACTTTTTATGCATCATAACCATCACTTTTCAATTCTGTTACATAAGCCTGATATACCTAAAATGGTGCTTTAGAAAATGGCATAACCATGTCTAAGTTATGCTAACATTTAGTACTTTATAAACTGTTCCCTCTCATACCAGTTGCTAAAAGATAGGAGTCAAGAGACCTAAAGCCCAGTTGTGGCTCCACTGACAACTTACATAATATATGCAAGGCACAATCTTTCTATACCTTTGCCTATATGCAAAGCAAGTATGTAATATTGATTCACTCAATATACATTTGCTGAGGACCTTCTTTGTACACTCTGTGGAGCCTACAATCTAAAATCTTAAGTGACAATAAAATCAGAGAAAAAAGAAATCATTAAAAATAATGTAATTATTGTTATCAGCTTATTAACAAAGCATAAATATACTTTTATAGTTCATTTTAAATTTAGGTATTTCATCTGTATAGAAATAAAAACCAGTAGCATACCTTAGACTGACTTCTCTCCTGCAGTTCTAGTCTTAACAGTTTGTTGTGTATTTACATCTGGCTGTCACATCAAAAATGATCTTCCTAAAACTGAAGTCATCTGCTTTCCTCCCCACCCCTAAAAATCACTCCTCCTGAATGATCTCTCTTATGAGGTCATGTCCCCAAGACAAAGGTTTAAAATCGCAGTTATCTTTAACTCTCTTTTTCCTTAAAACTGTCAGTATTTCAAACATTTTTAATAGTAACAATTTATTGAGCACTTCCTGGAGCCAGGCTGAAGGGTTTAGACATATCATCTCATCTAAATAGTCTAGAAATCCAAAGAAGTAGTGTGCTATTAATTATAACTGATTTTTTATAGAGGACAAAGTCAGGTTTGGAAACTTAGCAAGGCCAGGGCCAGGTTTGAAACTCAGCCCTTTGATTCCAGAGCCCATGTTCTTAAACATGATGTAATATCACATTGTTGCCTTAACCCATGTTCTTATTAAATCAGTCTTAACTACCACAATAATCTTGAATAGTCTATGTGCCTTATCCAGCTACAACTCACCTTTTATACCCCTCCAAACTGATCTTTCTTCAGTACTCTGATTCTGAATAAAACACCCATGGTTTCCCCAATGCCTTCAAATTAAAATTAAGTCCAATTTCCCTAACCTTTTTCAAGGATTCCATAATCTTGATTTAAAAACTATTCCCCCAGACTTTGATCTCAATACTACAGGGTGTCCCAAAAACATGTATACACACTTTAACAGCTGATAGCTCAATTTTGAAAATGAAATGTATTTCAATAAACACTGCCTTTCCTTTATAATTATTCAAATTGTGTGTATACATTTTGGGGGCACTATCTATATAATAAAAGCCTAAGCGACTGTTATGGTGGAACAACCAGTCACTATGATGCGCACTAACCACCAGGGGCAGACACACAACACAGGAGCTGCCTCCTGGTGGTCAATGCACTCCCACAGGGGGAGTGGCCACTCAGCAAGAAGCTGGGCTTACAGCTGGCAAGCGCAGTGGCGGTGGTAGGAGCCTCTCCCACCTCCACAGCAGAGCTAAGGAGCAGTGAGTCAAGAGGTAAGGAGCAAGCAGATGGGTGGTAAGGAGCGAGGGATCCCGGTTTGTGAGAGGGACTGGGCCTAAGCCAGCAGTTGGACATCCCCCAAGGGATCCCAGACTGCCAGAAGGCGCAGGCCAGGCTGAGAGACTCCGCCCCCCCACCAGTGCACAAATTTCATGCACCAGGCCTCTAGTATTTATATGAATTTCATGCTCCACCCAAACTGTACTATGACTTCTCCTTTTTTCCTATCGGCTTTTTTATTCCTTCCAACTAGAATGCCCTTATGCCTCTTTGTATAACTAGAAACCACTCTTCTCTTTGAAATCATTAATTCTCATGGCACTCATTACAAACCTCCTTATATTACTGTAGTTATTTAGTGGATTCTGAGCTAAGTGTGTGTGGTAGGTATAACCAAAGTTAATTATCAGTACCTTTAGAAATATTCATTGACAATTTCTTTGTATAGTAAATAAGTTGCACAATTTTCTTTATTTCAAAAAGGAAAAAAACATACGAATTATGAAGCTATATATTGGTCAAAACCAAAAAAGTGTTAATTACCTTACTAGGTATCTTAAATATCTTTAATATTCAAATATTGTTGGAGAGCCTTATTTTTATTTTTGAATGCCAATCCATGAAAGTTTTTTTTTTTGCTGATAATCCTCACCTGAGGCTATTTTTTCCATTGATTTTT